TGACTCAGTTTCTTTATAACTGGGAGTTTGCACAGTTTGGGAGTTTACATTCAAATAATATTTTATTCCGTAGACATTTGTGCATTTTGAGAAATGTGATTTACTAGAAATGAAAGGTGATTGTTTACCAGTCTGCCTTAGATAATGCTGTTCTACATATTATAGTCGTAAAATCGTGCAATACAGATTACCTACATATCTAATCTTATTGTAGTGAGCTACTTAAGTTCCGCATTCAGCACATAAAAACAGTTTCATAGATTCGTCTAAAGAAGTGCATTTGCGCAACAATCCCTTGAGAAAGATGTATTAGACTGCTTAGTTGACGAATATTTCAGCAGACATAAGAATTGTTGAATGTGCTTACCATTTCCTTCCAATACCTTGGTGATTTCGCATCTCTCAAGTTTGAAATAGCGTACATGGTCATAACAATAAGAGTGATGCTGACAACTTCGTAAATGATAACAACGGAATTGCTTAATATACGGTTGAACTGTAAAAACAATTTTTCCAAAAACGATGGCTTGGTTTTTTTTGTTCAAAATTTTAAAAAATACGTACTGGAATAGGTTGAGTACGTCCTGAAAGCATCCATTTGTCGTCAATCCACTGATAATCAAACTTAATCAAAAATAACGGTGTATGTGCTACAAATGAAATAATAATCTCGATTGTTAACACAATATTCACTATCTTCCGCTTCCATACCTTAATAAAAATTTTTTCTTAAAATAATAACCACTACTTGGAGGGTTTCAAGGTAAGGTAAATTTCCTGATTTTTGTCTGAGCACTTACCACATTATACAGGTCAGGCTGGCATACAGCCATATAACGATTGATAGTCATCAAAAGGCAGCCGAAAAGATGTGTAAAAAAGTGTGAACCGGTGAAGGAAGCCATTGTTCGGGTAATTATCTCATAATTGGGACCTGAAATATTTATAGCAGTTTTTTAGGAACTTAAGGATTTTTAACGCATGTTTAAAATCGCCCAAAGAGTGAATGGATGATTATCCTCATTTTGATAATACATCAGAATGAATTAAATACAAGATATCAATAATT